TTCGGACCCATAAATCCATATCGTCCAGCATACCGGGCAGGCTTCTCTTCGGTTTTGGCTGGGGCAGAACGCACCAAGCAAGGACAAGATGGTTCTCTACGGTACATGTCCACGGTGCAGATGTACCGAGCTTGGCCCTCGGCGTACGAACGGGTCTGTGCTCGGTATGAATCGCCTTCGGGGAGAGTGTTCGGCGTACGGACGGGTCTGTGCTCGGTATGTTCTGAGGCTGTTCAAAGTGTGTAACTGAAACTGCTATAACTCTCTAACCCCGGGTCAGAACGACTGGATTCCTCCACCATTGGAAATCTTCCTGGATTCTACAACTTTGATGAAGGATTTAGCGGCTGAATCTAAGTGCAAGGCCTTCGTCTGGACCTATATATTTTGTACCTCCAGTTGTACCGAGCAGGGAAAATATGCTCTCCACGGTTCACCGCCACGGTATGAGTCTTGGACGAGTTTTTCCAATGCTTTCAGCTCAGTTCTTCTGGTCCACACCATTCACCATCCTCCACTAAGTCTCCTTAGCTCCAAAGACACCTGAAATAGACTCAAAACAATGCAAAACATGCAATGTCTAATCTAAATCCTATCATGTCTAATATGAATGCAAAAAAGGACAAGTAATGATGAACGGATGCATGAAAGAGACCAAAATATAAACTAAATGCAAGATAAATCATGGTAAAATATGATGTTATCACTTTACTTGTTTGATATTCTTAATGCTTGGTTGGCCTTGGGAAAGGTATTCTTGATCATAGGAACTTTAATGCATTGATAGTGTTTCTTGAAATTCTTGAGTTAGTTGAATAAGTAATTTGCATGCTTAGCCTAAGGAATTAGTTATCTAAGGTGCTTATTGGCTCTATAGAACTAAAATTTAATGCTTGCTAATGGTCTTTTCACTAATGGGAGTTAGCTTTGATAGGATGTTTAGCAAAAGGATTAGTATCATGAGAGTGAATTAATCTTGCTTTGATGTTCTATGCCTAAGAATTAGCATTGTATTGTTGTTTGTGCACCATTGATCATTCAAAGAGTCATCCTAGCATCACAATCCCCCATCTTGAGACCATCAGTTTTTAGTGTCTAAGTCACCCTTTATTGCTCTGTTTTGCATTTCTTGCATTTGTTCTAGTTTGGTTTAAGTTTCATGTACTAGAATTGTTCATAGTTTAGTTCCTTAATTTCTTGTTTGCACTAACTTGATTGTTGAGTGTAATCCTATTTAAACTCCCATTTTTAGGCTTAGCTAAACAACTTATGCATCTTCTTTAACCTCTTGTGCTATGATGACCTGATTTAAGACTTAAGAGAAATTGAGTCACAAGACATAAAAAGTCTTGTAACCTCACATATCAACCTCACACGTAGAAGAAGGACATTTATCTACAACATTTCCACAGATGCACACTATCCACGATAACCTGTTCACTGAAACCTGTCCATAGCAAGCTGTCCACAAATGGGGTTTTGAACTGATCCCCAAGTTCCATGTTAATTAGGACGGTCTCCAAGGCTTTGTTGAACCCTTCTCCAAGCCGTCTAGTTTTTGGTCGAGTCATTGGGGAACTAGTGATAGTCGGTACATGCTCTAAGCTCTCGGATGGATCGAGGTCTTCATCATAAGTAGTATATATTTAGGCGGTAGATTCTTCGAAAAGAGATTTAAAGCAACTAATAGAATGGATTACCTAGGTTAATATGTTTGTGTGTTAAGCCTTTCCACGAAAACCTCCAGTGATCCCTAAATCCAATGTTTCTTCAACTGATCACTTAATCGTTTTAAACTGTTTTAATGAATTTTCCAAAATTATGACAAACCCCACTTTTATTTGTTTGTTCTTGATTTATTTTCGGTTTTAGTTTATTAGTTAGAAATAACTAAATCTATGTGAATTGATACCATAAATACTACAATGTACATATATTCACTTACAAAGAATAAAGTTATAAATTTAAAATTCAAAAACAGACTAAAAACCTTGTTGCATCAATTAGTTTAAAACAAAAAATTATTAAATAACAAAACCCAGCATTTTAAATAATAGAATTAGTCAACCTAAATAGGAACAGAACTTCGCCATCAATTGCGATTGTGTGAAAGACATAGAAATTTGTTTGATGGGTTTTAAATCTTGCTGCTTGTGAGGATATTTGCTTGTCTAGAGCATCAGCTGAAAGAAGTTTTGAGTTGAATCAACTTTTCTGGTCCCAAAAGATAAGGTCTATTGAAAAAAAATTTCCATATTTTCTGGTCTCACAAACTCACACGCAGCCTTTGATACAATGTTATTGAGATTAGTAGGAGTTAATTTGTAATGATGCCTTAATTTCTGTCTAGTGTGTAAGATATATCCGCATCGAAAATTGGGAGGGACTTAAATAAGTATATAAGAGATTTTTATCCACTCATTGCCAATTGATTTTGTATTAAAAACTCAAGAAATAGTTGATACAGTAAAAAATAGTTGATATGGTAAAAAACATCCAAAAACAAGAAAATACGATAATAATTGTGAAAATAAAATGAATACGATAATAATTGTGAAAATAAAATTAAGTGCGAGGTTGATATGTGAGTTTGTTATGGACATGTTTCTGTGGACAGATTGATGTGTCACCATTGACAGGTTAATGTGGATAGGTTGCCTATAATACAAGGTTGATGTGGACAGTTTTTTATGAACATGTGTATGTGAATAGGTTACCATGGACAAAAGGTCATTGACAAGGTGCCAATATAACACAGACGTGTAATAAATTGAGGTAATTACTTCTATTACTGTAAATTTCTATGATCTTTTGTACACATAGATTCTAAATTGTAAATGAGTTTGTATGGATAAAATTATGTTGAATCATCGACCCACCGAACCACACAACATTGTTCAAGCATTGTTGACCACACAATGTGTACTTCCAATACCCACAAGTGCTTAAAATTGGGCTACCAACACGATTATCATAAATTCACGGATTTACACAATCAGTGATTCAATATAATTTCATCCATACAAACTCATATGTACACATAAATTATCCACGACAACCTCACATATTAACCTCACACTTAGAAGAATGACATTTATCCACAACATGTCCACAAAGGCACACTGTCCACAACGGCCTGCCCACAAAAACCAGTTCATAGCAACATGTCCTGATGTTTCGCTTTAAAGGATCATAAATTACAATTTTGCCCTCGTCTGCAACATTCAAATATAGTTTTGAGACATCTTTCATTTTATTTACATAATTATTGTCGGATTCGCTTGTTTTGTATGATTTTTTTGTAACTATGATGAATCTATAATCTTATCTTCAATTTCGAACTTAAAAACTATTAAAAGATGAACAATTAAAAGGTTTCTGATTTATTAGCCGAACTAGCTCAATTCGCGATAGTTAGGAACCACTGAACGTTTCACCACCGATCTAAATCCAAGTTGATTGAAACTTTTGATTATCGGATTGGTAGATGTAAGATTATTAACGAAATGAAGAAAAAATAATTTGTTGCTATTGTCAGATAAAATTTTTTTTAAAAAAAATGCAGTAAAATGTTTTTTTTTGCTTTTTTATTATGTGGTGGTGATTTTTGTTTATCATCAAAAATAACAAATGTTTGAAAAAGGATATAATTATCATTGCAGGTTTAAAAATTGTCTGAATTATTGAAACTGTGTTTTTGTAATATGAAAAAAGTGTCTCTAAGTATAGTAAACTCGTTTGGAACTCTAAACATAAAACGATGTTGTTTTGTATCATTATTCCAACAAGTATTCTGATTTGGCATCTAAATTATCTACATTAACGGATTTGCATAGTTGACTAGTGGAATTCAGGTCAGTGTTGGTTTCGGCCAAAGGAAGTTATGAAACAATGTTCATTAATTAGCAAACAAAACTTATACAAGCCTTCCTTCTATTACTATTTGGCGAATTAGGCGATTTCTCATAAACCCACGTATAAAAACGCAAAATTACTATTTGCTCGTTTTGCGAAAACACCCCAAAAATGTGTTTTTTTTTTTTCCTCAATTCTCACACTCTTTCCTAGGGCTTTGAGTCCTTTCTGATCTTTCATCGTCTGGCCTGGAAGCCATTTCTGAACCTAACTTTTCCGATTGCGATGGGGAAGAGTGAGATGGAAGATCCTTGCTGTGTTTGTCGTCATTACCATAACTACGAGGTAGGAGGGCCCTGCGATATCTGCGGCCACCAAGGCAACTCCGGTAAGTTGGCGACAATCCAAGTCTGCTCTTGTGTGAGACGAATGTGAGAATGACAAGTCCCGTGTTCTTGTGTACTGCATGACAGGGAGAAACAGGTTAGTAAATATAAATCACCCAATGCTTAATTAGAGAGACTTGTTCTTGTTGAATTTTCTTTACACAAGTTTTGATTTATCTCTACAGATCACCAGCGATTGTGGTTGCTTACTTGATGAAACGCAATGGCTGGAGATTGGCTGAGAGTTATCAGTGGGTTAAACAAAGAAGACCATCGATTGATATAAGTCCAGGTAAACAAACAAACTCTTAACCATGGAAACTTTTAAGCTTTGGAAGGAACATTCAAGTGAAATTTCTCGAGATTGCTGTTTTTGGTGTGTTCAAACAGGGTTCCAGAAACAGCTCAAAGAGTTTGAAGAGAGGTTATTTGGATCAAGATATGGCAATGGATTACCTGAGCTCAATAATCAACTTCAAGTCTTGGCTTTGGGACCAGTGAACGATGACATTCTCATGGATACATGTTAACACTCATGCCAGTTTCACTTTGTAAATACACTCTGAGAGCTTCATCTCCCTTATGCCTCTATTTCATATCATGTTCTGCTTTTCAATCAGCAGTTTCACACTCTATTTAGAAGAAGAATGTTAAGTTTCTGGATACAGTTTTAACAGACGCACGCTTCTTTATATAATCAGTCTCAAATCATAGTTTTATGACATAGCTTTTTACACAGAAAGATGTCGTAATATTTAGCTAGGAACCTGTGATGTGTGATTCAATCATGGACTTGGCAATCCACAAGAGACCCGGGTCATTACGTTTCAGTACCAAATATGGTTCTTGTGCTCCTGTGCCTTCCCGTACCATCTCTTCGACAAAACCAACCACGGAAAGGATCTCGACCGCAGCTGCAAAATAACCCGCACGAGATGGTTTAACACACATATATATATATATATATCTACCATACACAATCTGTTACGAGAAGATGAAAAATATGAACAAAAAAACCTGCAAAGCTGAGTATCTTGCGCTTAATTGCAGGATTTCCCTGAAATTCAGTCCTGTTATTTTAAATCAGACTGTTGATATAATAACTCAAAGGAACTATATTGTATCAGAGGCCAAATGAGTCCATACCTTACGCAGCCTTTTGAATTTCATTTTATTTGGTTGTTCAATGATGTTCCTGAACCATAACCAAAAAAAAGACAAATGTCAGTATCTTAAGTCACATAAGATTGGACTTACATCTGCAGAACATTGGTACCTCACTATTTTGAGAAGCATTATCAGCACATCGGTTGCTTCACCGACGCTAACTCCGGTTTTCAAGGCGTTTATGGCTTTCTTGAGACGGTTAGAGATGATGGTAACAGAATCTTGGATCCTCTGAATCTCCATATCATCTGGATCAGGCTTATCAACCTCAGTGATTGTTTCATCCGCGTTATGCTCTCCTGGATGTATCTTCGAATCCCCGTCATTTGATATTTCCATATTCTCAAGTTCATCCGGATCAAGTTCATCATCGTCTTTAGCAGCATCGTCGGCAAGATCTCTCGCCATTTCAGTAGATCCTGAGCGATGTTCTGGTGCAGAGGCATCTCTAGAACTTGATGGGATCCATGAATGACCTGGACCGGTTTCTGTTGTACCATCTTCAACGGTATCATCAGGATCAGGCTCAAACTTTTTGCTAGAATCACACTGAGATTTAGGGATAATTGGCTGTTTATTCTCATCACGAACATCAACCAAGTCATCAGGATCAGGCTCAGACTTGTTCCTAGAATCAGACTGAGCTTTAGGGAGAATTGGCTGTTTATTCTCATCACAAACATCAACCAAGTCATCAGGATCAGGCTCTTCTCTGAGTTTCGAAACACCGAAGTCATTGTCTTCACTCGTGTGGGAGAGACGGCGATAAGCAGCAGCAACAGACGATTCACGAGCATTTCCCAGATTATCAGATTGATTTCCACCAAGCCTCTGAGAAAAATGCTCATGTTCATCAAAGAAGTGGTCTTCCTCATCATAGTCATTCACGATCTTCGTCCCATTCAAAGTGTGGCCCCTTGATTTAGTCCAATCTAAGCTTTCGGCTTCTTTGTTCAACTGTCACACAAACACTCATTTGTAAAATCTCCAACAAAAATAATTGAGATAACAGAAACAGATATGTATGTATATATAGATTACCTGTCTATCAAGAGCATAAAAGTGTTCATCATGCTCCGTGTATACCATGTGAGCCTGAGATTTTGATTAGCTCTCAAATCAAACTCATGCAGAGAACGTTCAGATTTTATATGATAAGAATTTCAAGTTGCAGAGTAATTAACTTACAAGCTCATGCAACAGAGTCTTTTTAATGCTCTGGTACTTTCTGAATCCCTTAAGATCATCAGTTCGAAGACGTAGAGAAATCTCCTCTCCTTGGTTCTACAACATCCATAGCAGAAGATTTTTAGAAAAAAATCATAATAAAGAACAGATTAGGGAACACAAGAAGTGATTGTGTACCTTGTTAAACCCAAGAAGGCATTTTGGACTAACACCAACATAACCAACTGGGGCAAGTTCTGTCATAATTCCTACTCTCCAACGATGCTACAGATGTAAAAACGAAAACCGATTGGTACATTGTATCGATATGCTTACGGTTTTGAATAATAAGGTTCTCGTAATTCAGATATAACCTTGTTCATAACAGCGATAATACCAGGATCTGCTGCAAGCGTGTGCATTCTTTTTAAAGCATCAGAAGCAGGAGGGTTTAACTGCAAGAACAAACATCATGAAACAGGTTGAGATTTGACTGTGAAAACATCATGAAACAAGTATAATAAATGTTAGACATGGCGATTCGAGGGAGTATTTACCACTAAACCCGGGATTTGAAGAGTGCGGAAATCGCAGAAGATGTAAGGCCCCTGTGGAAGTTTGATTGAAGTGCTTGAAAACTTCTTTTGCCTAAGCCTTCTCTCCTCTTCCTCAAAGCCAAGTATTCTCATGTCAGGCATTGCATCTTTTAAAACTCCATTGACTTCTTCTTCAGAGACTCCCATCATTCTGATGGTTTTATCCTATAAACAAGAAGAAAGTACCCAAGACGAAGAATTTAATAAAATGGGTTTTTGATACCTTAAATAGAGATCCAAGAAACTAAACACATTTCACAAACTTAGGAAAATTGTTTAGTGAAACTAAATTTATACGCCTTGAGTCAGATGTCTAAACAACCCTGAGCAAAATCTATCTGAAACAACGAACAAAATTGAATTCTTGCCTACTCTGCTACACATAGGAACACACCACTAATCCACACGCTATTAGCTGAAAGTTTTGTACTTTTCTCGATTGTGCGTGTCATCTTTTATCGTTTCAGTTTTATCAAATGTCCTTTAAGCTCTATCTACGACATTAACAGCAAATTCAACTTATCAAACCTCAAACTAAGCAGGCAAAAACATTTTCAGGATCAAACCAAAACGAAAGACGAACCTCAACTATGGAAGATTCCTGCAAACTTAAGCTCGAGTGTTCATCAGAGAAAGGCGAAATCAATCTTGACCCTTTTTCATTCAACCAAGGAACGATCAAACGGAGCGTCTCCGCCGTAACGCCAGTTAACTTTCGCAATTCATAACCCAAATCTTTCAGATTTGCCTTGGAATCGATCTTAAGAGTGTATTTGTTCCCTTTCCACATAACAGAGACTTTCATTGTTCTTCCAGAATCTTCCATGCGATGAGAGAGCTCTAAGCTACTATCGCCAACGGCCATGGGCGAGGAATCTGAAGATCAGGATTTGGATCGATCAATATACAATTCAACTTCTGCATATAATTGAGGTATTAACCAGAAAATTCCAGCAAAAATTCAATTTTATCTCAAATGATGAATCGGCGACGACGAAGGCAAAAGATGATTGAGTCGTACCTCAATTTCCGAAGAAGCAAGAGGTTTTGTGGCGAAATCCAATTATAGCTATCAATTCGAATCAGATAGAACCACAAAGATTAGATAGGTATGAACAAATTATCCTTTCGACTTGTAGAAGAAGAAAAAGGGATTTATCTCTCTCTGTATACATATATAAGAAAGAGAGAGAGAGGCTTTGGGTTTATTTATTACGTATGCACTTACGACGAATGATGTACATACAGATACTAGAAAACTTTCAGGTCACTCCGAATTACAGTTAGGTCACCGGGTTACTTTATATAATAACACCGCCATTAAAGCCTAGGCATGGAGTTTATAAAAGACTCTTCTCCCATTTTTCAAAAGACTGTTTATAGATCTCGTTTGTTTAAAAGACTGGATTTCCCATTTATCAAAAGATTGTTTATAAATTTAGTTTCTTTAAAACGAGTTTTTGCTAAAGAAACTTTAACTCGACTGTAAATTGTGTTTTGTTAAAAGGATGATAAAAGAGAGACGATCACATACCAGAATGCTCACAATCACCAAATTTGCATCCAACAAAGTAGATGACATCATAAAATGTTCCACGATACAAAAAGGTCTCCAAAAAATTAAAATTAAATAGAATAGAACTTTCACAATTCAAAAAATGAGGTTTCAAGTACACAGTAGTTTTACATTGTGTACAAAAAAGCCCTCTTTGTTTGTATATATCAAACCCAAATTTTTTACTTTCTTTCTTTGAGTTTCTGTCTCATGCATTGCCAATCAAAAACTCCAATGCTCAAAACTTCAAGCAGAAAACCAAAAAAAAAAAAAAATAGCCATGAAATTACCATTCAAACTCCTTATGCATCTTTATTATTCTCACCATCAACCTCAACCTCATCCTCCTCTGCCTTCGTCACCAATTCTTGATCTTGGACGGTAGGAGAAGACTCAGAAGCCCCATCAATGGACAAATTGGAGATTTCACCAGTAACAGAGTTTGCATCGCCTTCATCTCCGGCATCTTCTGATACATTAGACTCTGTGTCTGATTGTTGCTGAAGGCTCCAGTACATGATGCTCGCCGCCAAAATAAGCATCATCTTCTGGTTCACCTATTTTACACGAGTAAAATTGACTCAGAGAAAAAAAAACATTCAAGCCTGTTTCAATTTAGATATATATATATATATCTACCTCTATGATATCCTCAGGCAACAAGAATATGGAGCATCCGAGCTTCCGTGCAACACTGATGATGTACGTGGCATTCAACTTCTTATCCTCCTCTGTTTTACGTTCCAAGTACAACCAAAAACAGAACTCATTCTTCAAAACGGTATGAAGATTAAAAGCCAGAGAATAAGAAGCATCTAGCAACAATAGGGAAGGGAAAACCAACGAAGTTCGTTTACCTGTTTCTCCGCTGGTAACGAGGCTCCAGTTGACAACTCTTGGCTCTACAGCAGTCAGAAGTTCCAGAAAGAAGATTCCACTTGACAGATTCTTGTCCTAATGTCAGAGAAAAGCAACCATCAAACTGTTAGGTTTCTGAAGATGGGTCTCCGTACATCTTTACTTGGTTGACACTTACCCTGAAGCTATCAGCCTGAGAAGTTCGACCCACTCTCTTCACTTTCCTATTCGCCCAGTTTAGAATATCCGCATCTGTAATTTCTTTACCTTGAGAGTGAGATCGCAAGTTCTTCAGAAGTTGGAGCATTGTATATCTCATTAGTTGCCACAAAAAAGCTGCACAATCATTGGCAACACGAGAAATTACATACTGTTCTACTAATCAGAACAATATATGGAAGTGAATTATCTCATTAGTGTGCCTTTCAGGAGAACTTACCGAGAAGGAGTTTCTTATTTCCTTGCACAATGTCATTTCCAGCTACATTGACAAGGGAGAAGCGCAGTTCTTTGCCAATCTTTATAACTTCATTGCAGTTCTCAACCTTCTTGAATGGCATTTTTATGGGAGGTTTATTTGCGTGTTTCCAGTTGACAGAGCCAGGCGAAACTTTGTCGAGAACTTCAAGAAGAACCCACCTGAAAGAGACGAGGTTTAGATACAAGCAGATAGAAAGATAAAACGTCCTCAAACGGAACTCCGTAGCTCACCCATTCCTAAGATCCTCAAAAACATTGTTGACATAAGTGGCAGTGCCAAGACTGTTGATCCAGAGGCGGAAACATCTTTCTTCTCGTGAAGTTTCCACATCATCTGTCATCATCTCAGCAAATGACGTCGACTTTGAACTGTCATCAGTCAACCCATTCCTGCAAATTAAGTAAAGTAGCAAAAACAGTAATCATTATCAGCTTTCTGAGTCATTTGGAGACCCTGCAGAAAAACTATCAGAGGGATAATCAAATGCAAAGAATAACACATTTTATAACTCAAAACCATTGAAATTTTGAGATATTTATTAATCCAAAAACCACAGGAAAGACTCACTAAAATTGTTCAAATCAACTTGTCAAGTTTGCAACTGACCTGTGCTGAAATATTTGTGCCACAAATGCAAGGTTAAGATTTGCTGAGCCGTCCACTATATCTTTGGGAGAAAGGTATCTTTTACAGTCCAACTTCTCAGCCTGCTCAAGAAGCTTTTTCGCTCTTTCCATGGGGTCTTTGGTCTCTAATGCCACATGTGTACTGTGTTCTGGAGCAAGAGCATTAAGCAGATATGCATATGCCTCACCATCCTGAAAACAAAAAAAGAAAGATGAGGTTATGGTGAGCAAGCAAGTTGACATCATAATATTATTAGTTCCCAGAAAAGGAAAAGGATGCATCACTGTCAAGACTATTATAAAGTCGTAGCTCATGAGCCATGCTAGCGGGTCTGATTAAAGAGAATATATGTTATTAAGGACAAAAGGGTAAGAAGAGCCAAGTTACCTTAACATCAGATGAAAAATTCGTAACCTGCTTTTCATAACCAGCTTTCTTCAGATGAAAATTCATCCATTTTAGCAAAACTTTTTCAGGAGCCAATCCCATGAGCTCCTCCGCATCCTGCAACGTCACTAAAATTTTAGTCTCATGACAATAAATCTCATAGAAAGCATTGAAAAAACGTGAAATCGTTTACCTGAGTGTCGTCTACCAATTGAAAAAGTGAAGGAGTTTTCTTAAAGTTGAGATCAGCCAGCATTTGGATCTGATATTTTGCCCCAAGAACAACAAAAACTTCAGGAGTCAATATTAAACAAAAATAAACCATCATATAATTTCCTATGAACCGGAAACGCAATGTGACACCTAGAATTGGAAACACTTAAGGTTGTTACCTTAATAATCTGAGAAATCAACCCAAGTACGAGATATGGCTGCAAAAAGAAGAAGACAAAAGAACAATTGAAATTGGGAGATCAAGCAAACAGAGTAAAAGAAAAATTTCTTCCTTGTTTCTTAGGCAATTTACTTACTCTTCCTTCAGCAATGTCCTGTGTTCCAATGTTGACCACAGTGCAGCCAATTGCTTTGGCAGAATTGAGACCTAGAGTAAGGTTCTCATTCCTCTCCCACGGGTTAAGCATTTTTTTTGTGTTGATAGCTCGTTCGTCGATGGTCCCAGGAACAGCAACATTTATAAGCTTACTGTAGAAAAGGAACAAGGATGATCATTAAGAAATTTCAGAATGTACAGTAAGAATCCAACATGTTATAAATACTTCTTAGTAAAACGGATCCGAAGGAAGAAAGAGATATATATACCACAAAAGAACACCGTCTTTAACAAGATCAAAGAAAGCATTTGTAGCGGGATCGATAGGAAGATAGTTCTTCAAGAAAGGATCGTCTCTCAAGTAACTATTGATATGAGAAACATAGGAAGCCTTCTCGGATTCATTGATCGCATGGTGAACCGTTGTAGTGCTAGTTTTGAGGAATGAAGAAGAACCTTTCGATCCTCCTGATTTCTCGATTCCTCGGGCTTGCACACTTAGATATGCCTATACAAAATCATCAATACATGTCACTGTAAAACAGGTCGAAAGAGACTTCCTCTAGTCTTATCAAATCAATGCTAAAGGAAACCAGCAAGCCAGAAGAAGAACTCACCCGGAGAAAAGACTCGAAATCGACTTCTTCCTCAGCATTGGAATAAGACTTGTTCAATACAGATTTGATCTCACTCTCATCAAAGGTGCCGCTAAAAGCATTCAACTTTGCGAATACAGGAGGCAAATCTCCAACAGTGAAACGATCCAACAGGGTTTTATTTGAATTAAACTACAATGCAACCAAAAACAAATAATAATAGAAAGTTTCATAAGGCAAATTCTATACTCGTGAATCAAAAGAAAACCTCAAAGGATGCGTTACAGATTACCTTCGATTTAAGGGTTCGTAACTCCACTTGTGTAAACTGGCTCTGTAACCATGGATCAGAGACAAGAACACCAACGTAACTAGACATTTTTTTTTTCTTATTGTTTCTCCTCGGAGTCAAAGACGAGAATGAGCCCAAAAGAAATCCCCTGCAGCATAGATATCCTTAATCGAACAGGAACCTTCAGAATTGCAACAAAAGTGAAAGAGAAACGATAGGAGAGATCCGAAAAAACATCAAAAAATATATAAACCAGAAATCGTAGAAATTACAGCCAAACTTTTATAGCCCAAAACGGAATCGGCATCGGGAATTTTGATTACACGCAAAGCAACGATCAACGTTGATGCATCGATCGGATGTAATGGCGATGGTGGATTATGCTTTGATATATAAATGGGATGATCAAATTTTTTAAAGAGAGGCGATGATTGATAATAAGACCTTTAGTGAAGACGAGATGGAATGCGAATCGTGTTCATATCTCCGCGGATGAAAGTGACGATGATAAGAGACCTT